ACACACACACACACGTGTGTGTGTGTGTGTGTGTGTGTATAATTATGTTTGTGTGTATCTCTCTGTGTGTGTGTATATATATATATATATTTAAATAAATATATAAACTCATAAAATATGAGTTTCTTCAAACTTTCAAGTTTGCAAAAGAAAGAGGAAACCATTGTTTGCATAAGCTTTCTCACTTACAGAAGGCCAAAGCAGGTCTCTCCGGCTGTTTTTATATCATACTCATTTTAGCAAACATTTCTTAGGTCAAAACTACGCAGGTAGCAGACCTGATATATTTATTCTTGTTCTTTTAGGCTGCAGTTTTATGTTCCCCAACCTGGGACTAAGTTCCACTGAATTTCATCTCCTGAGTTGATGTATATCAGACCACACAATGATAATAGCTCAAAAATGATGGCTATCGTTATTATTTTATTTATTATTTATTTGTTGATCAAACATGTACAAGATAACAAGTATAGGTATGAACGTAAACAGGAAGTAAATACAGATAAATGGGGGACAGTGGGACAGGGACGGAAGCCACACTGGTGCGCTTATGCACGCCCCCTTTACGGACCTCTTAAGAATGGGTTGAGGTCCACGGTAGACAGTTTGAGATTGAATCTGTGGCGATGTGAGGATGTAACAACAGAGTCAGGTAGAGCATTCCTGACATTGACCACTCTGTTGCTGAAGTTGTATTTTCTGCAATCGAGTTTGAAGCAGTTTACCTTGAGTTTATATCGATTGTTTGCTGGGGTTTTCCTGTGTATCATTCCTGCTTCATAATTTAGCTTGTCAGCAAATGTGCTTATTCTAAGTCCTATCACATTCGGTGGACCTTTTTAAGCAGATATAAATGATATTTCAGTCAATTCCCAGTTTGTGCTAAAAGAAATTAATTGAACACATACATGTTGTTGTTTTTTAAATATTAGGTGATGCTCATTTGATTAGTAGAGTAGTCCTCGACGTAGAATCACAATGAAGCCCAACATTTCCATTGCTAGGTAAGACAGTTGTTAAGTGAGTTTTCCCCCATTTTACTACCTGCCTTGCCAACATTGTGGAGTTGTTAAGTTAGTATAGTAGGGTTGTTAAGTGAATCTGACTTCCCCATTGACTCTGCTTGTCAGAAGGTTACAAATCATATGGGACACTGCAACTGTCATAAATATGAGCAGGGGTGGGCTTCAAAAATTTCAGCAACGGGTTTGCTGCCTGGTTGCTGGGTGGGCGTGGCCTACTTGGCCTCCTGCACCATGGCTGGCTGCGGGATGTTTTTACATTTCCCAGGCTCCGGAGGCTTTCCCCGAGCCACTGGGAGGGTGAAAACTTCATACCCTGGGCTCCGGAAGCCTTCCGGGAGGCCCATTTTTTCCCTTTCCCGAGCCTCCATTTATCTCACATCCAAAATGATCTGCGTGGAGACTCCTGGGAGGGGTGGGGAGGGGTGGGCATGGCCATCCAGGGGTGGGATTTGAAGGTTCTCCAAACTGGCCATAAAGTTAGCTACGGGTTCTCCTGAACCTGGGCAAACCCGTAGCAGCCCACCCTTGAATATGTCAGTTGCTAAGCATCTGAATTTTGATCACATGACCAAGGGATGCTACAATGGTCGTGTGAAAGACTTATCACCAATCACTTTTTTCAGTGCCATTGTAACTTCCTATGATCAGAAATGAATGGTTGTGAATTGAGAACTACCTGTACGTTTCACTTAAAAGAAGTTTGCAGGGTCTGGCTTCTTCCTTGACTGCTTTCCGTCCTTCTTCCAGATTCTATTCCTCGTCTCTTCTTACAGGCTGCTTTGATTGGCTCCTTCTTCTCCCTTGCAATTATTCTTCATCCCACATAAAGGTCCCGGTTGCCAGGCCTTATTTTTAGTGCCACATCAGACGCAAGAGATCAGCCTATGCTGGCATGTATTTCTAAACATCTTGAAAAAAACTACCCAAAGGTTGGCTTGTTGTTCTGGTTGTTCTGCTCCTATTAGTATTCTGAAATAAGCTTGCTGTCAGGGTGAATGCCTGCTGTAGAAAATTGGTTATAGGAAGTCACCAGTCATCATCCTGCTAATTGGGGGTATTGTACTTCTATGACAGAGTTCTTTATATACAGAAAGTCTTGTATTTGTTCCCTGGCTTATTCAGAGAAAAAGGTCAGGGAGCAACTAATTTTGTTTAAAAATATGTTATACTGAAGATTCTTTTGCTAGGCAAAGCAAACTTGCTTGTCTCAATTTAGGGACTTGCTGATGTACAGGGGTTATAATTTCCCAGAATTTTTCAGCTGGGAATTCTAGCATCTCAGCATATTTGGGCAGCATTGGGGATGGGAGAGGTGGTGCGGTGGCATAGAGGTGGAGCTCTCACCTCACATCAGGAGGCTGTGAGTTCAATTCCAGGTGGAGGCAGGTATTCTCTCTCCGGCCACAATGAGAATGTATCTGCTGAATGAAACTCTGCATTGGCGACAGGAAGGGCATTCGGCCAGTAACCAGTCAGCTCCATTCAGTTGCTCAGACTCCACCCTGCAAGGTATTATGGGGTTATTAAAAGAAGATAATGATTAGGGAAGGCTGGAACAGTAGCTAGTAGCTAGTCGGATAAACAGAATAAGGAGTTTCCTTTATACCTGTCTTTCATTGCATCTATGTTGGAATCAAATTCTACTGCCTTTTGTCCCTTCCTTATAGACAAAGTGTTTATAATGCTTGTAAACTATAAAATAATGAATTGTGATGACTGTTTTGACTGGGGAAACATTTTGGACGGTGGGGGGGGGGATAAAGGACTTGAACCTAGGCAAGAAAAAAACCAATTTAGTTTAATTGTTAGAATAAACTGATTGAATAATTGTTAGAGTAAGCTGATTGAATAAAGTCTGCTGATGTCTGAACACGTTCATGAACCAGCACAGGTAGTGGCTATCAAATAATACCCAACTCTTCCTCAAACCAGCTGTGGTATGCAATTTAAATTCTGATCATGTTGTATGGCAGCTAAAATTAATACTAATGTACTTTGGAAGACACTCAATAAGAATGACTTACCATCATATCAGTCCTTGTGAGTTCTCTGTCCTCCAAATTACCATCAGATGGATGCTGCTGTTTCTGAATGCCAGTAGAAGTCTCTTTTGGGGATTGGAGTTTTGGGGATTGCTTTTGAAATTGACAAACCCTCAGGAGTAGCAGGCTGTTTGCACAATAGCCTGTGCAAATCTTCCTTGATTCAGAGTAACTCAGTTGCAGAATGGAATCCTTTGGGAGAAGGAGAGAGAGAGAAAGAGAGAGAGAGAGAGTTGAGTCCTTGGTGCTCTCTGAATATCAGCATTCCAGGTAATAAACCCATAGAAAGGCAGATAGATTTCTCAAAGAACAAATGTATTCAAAACATCATATTGGCACAACCGGTGAAAAACGACTATGATTAATGAAAGAGAATTAAAAGAGAAAGTTTTTCCCCTTTTCCCCAAGTCATCAGTCACATGGTCCAATATAGGTGCTGGACAGTTGCTTTGCTCCTCCACTCCCAGCCACCTGTTGGAATGATCTTGGTTCCCACAGGAAAAACCTTTTGTTTTGACTGCAGTTAACTATCCCCCCCCCCCATCTAGTGACAACCCTGGAGCCTCAAAGATGGACCAGCCAGGTTCTCTTCAGGGTTGACACTGAGCTTGGTTTGCTTTCTTGCAGAAATTTCATTACCAAAACTAGGTAACACCATTCAGTGCCCAGACGATGATGTTACCTAGTTTTGGTGATGAAACTTCTGCAGGAGTCATCTGCAAGAAAACAACCAAGCTCAGAGAGCCTCAAGGAGCCCTCATTTCAATCCTGAGCCACAAATATTCTCCTTTGTGAGAGACAATTGAGCAAAACCAAGTCGAGGCTTGCGAGAAAAGTTCATCTGAGATCTGCCTGTGTGTAGGTACTTTTCATCACCTCCTAGGTCTACACCCACTTCATCTTCAGGTGTGATAAGAAAAATTACCTTGAGACTTTCTTGCCCGCACAAGGTAACTTCCCATTTCCAGACAAAAATATTGGAATGGTGAACTGCAGCCTTTTTCATTCATTCATTCATTCATTCATTCATTCATTCATTCATTCATTCATTCATTCAT